CTTACAGTCCCCCTGTGGTACTTGCTGGACCGGACTGGGACTGACTGGACCTTCCGTTGACTGACTGTGGACTCACCGCTATCCTACCGCCGTTGCACTGCTGTTGCACTGCGGTTTAGTCCACCACTTGCCTCACCACTTGACCACTTGCCCACTTGCCTACCTTCTAGAAGGTCTACAGCTAAGCTTCCAGAACTCACTAAGACTCCTACGMTATAGACCTACAGATCRAACCCCTGCTGTCTATGGACCTACGAMAGGTCTACCAACTGCCTACGAATACACAGGTCRCAGKTTCAATTCTCGGGGTCTACACAGATACTGTACATGGGTAGGGTGAGGTCTAGGGATCGAACCCTGGGTACTGCATCCGCTACTGCTAAAAGGTGAAAACCGTTTCAACAGTGTGTGGGTGGGTGGGTCCGCGTGCGCATGGGAGGGTGGGCGCACGCGGGTGGGTGTGTGGGCGCACGCGCATGCGTGCTTACGTGCGTGGGTGGACTGCGTGGGTGGGAGGGCGTGCAGGCTCCCGTCCGTGCTTGCATGCGTGGACGGGTGGGCGGATGGGTGCGCGTGGGTTGGGATTTCCTCTTTTTTTTTTTCCCCTTCCGAGGTTTCAATATTCTTTTTGGCCGCGAGCTTTCAAAATCCAGTTTCGAATGCAGGCAGGAGCGCGTGGGTTCGGGTTTCTTCATTCTGGCCGCGAACTTTCGAAATCATTCTCGGTTTCCAATTTCATTTCTTTTCCCCGGGATTTGGCCTCGAAAACAAAACAAATACGTTTTTCGCAATTCGGCCTCGAAAAAGAAACACATGGAGACGAAAACCCCGAGCCAAAGGTGTGTGTTTTTCCCTTTTCTTTTTTTCTTTTGCCCTTCGAGATACAGCTACAAACTTTTTTTTTCCCGCCCAGACTCAAATCGGAGACCTTAGAAACTATTACGAAAACAAAACAAACTATTACGAAACCGAAACGACAGAAAGATTGGGCGGGAAAACAAAAGAAAGCAAAGCTTTCCCCTTCGGGAAATTTCGCCCGTTCCCTTTTCAGCTGTCTGACAGCCTGACACTCCCTGACACACGTTATCGCACCGCTCACAATCCTTCTGCACACTTTTTTTCATCTACGGCTTCCAACAATCCAGCCATCCACCATTCACAGCACCGCATGTCGACCAAAGATAGCGTATGAGAGCAAATCTCAGCCGCCAGTGAACGATCGAGTGATGGAAAGCCGGCCACAATGTCCAGGGTGAGGCCCCGCAGATGAAAAGAATTAGTAGTTTGTAGTAGATACATTCTCCCCGACTTTCTTTGCCCAGGGAGGGAAGTGGTGGTTTAAAAGCTACAACCAATGTTCGTACATCTGACACTATTTCACTGGAACACAGGAGAGAAATCCACAGAGCTTCAGAGCAACGTCAGGTTGCAACTGACCATACAAAAAAAAGGCAAATGAACACAAGATCTAATACAGTCAACCTGGACTTACCCTCCTCCCTTGACCAAAGCAGAAGCTACTGTCTTCACACGAATACAACGCTTCGTACTTGGGACAATTTCTTGTCCAGATGCAGCGGGCGTTCTATTCACGTGAAGATGGTAGTGGATCATTGAGAACCTGTAAGCTTAACAGCCTGAAGCATACACACATCCAATGGCTGGCTGCTATTGCTTCATACGGTTAAGGGAGCCACTTCCTTCTTTCCTTCCGCGCTCATATCCATTGGGATACGCTGGCTTCTCTGTCACCAGATTGTGTCAGCTTCCACAGAAACCAGTGGAATACCATGAAGCTCTCAACTATTACCCATCCATTTTCCATGAAAAGAAACGCAGAAAGGAAAACATCCCACAGGTAATTGCTCCATTCCATTGGGCGAAAGGACAATGTGGTTCCCACCACAGACGACACCTCACGGTCACGCTGCTCCAACCACCCACCCATCGCAGACTGTTGGTCAGGGCTGGAGTCCCATCCATGAGCTTAACTTCATCAGCCATGAGTCTACGTGGTTGAGATTAAGGGAGAGAGGGAAGCAAAACTGAAGGGAACCTTGGAAAGAATCTCCACCAAATACAACCAGAACAACCAAACCAACATTCTATAAAACAAGCAAAAAAGTTGCAGAATTCCCTAAGATCAAGCTCCTCTTTTTTTTTCACTTATAAAACTCGAAGTCAGTGTCAGACTTCTTCACATTGGCCTTGTAGCCCTTGTCAAAGTCTTTCGGGAGAATGACATAGCGGTTCTTCCTCACAGCATGCATCCCTGCCTCCTGGCAAATGGCATGAATCTGCGGCAAAAGAACAAGCAAACAATGACATTTCATTGCATGGTTATCCACAGTTCGATTAGTAAGTTATGAGAACCATCACGGCCACAAACAACACAGCAACTTTTTTTGGCCTCTCTCTCCCCCCCCCCCCCCGTTCTCCAAGAGATGCAGCCATAACCTTCGAGTCATTCTTTCGTTTCCATTCTCATCTCAGTTCACCAGGCGTCTTCCGTTCAAGGAGGACAGCATTTACTAGAGATTGAAATCAAGAGTGAAAAGAAGAAATTTTCAGCGCACTCAGGACAGGAATTGGGGGAGGGGGAATGGGCGGCGGGTGGGAAAGCATACCGCGCCCAAGTATTGAGACAATAATTCTTCGTCTCCCAGATGATGCCTTTTATGCAGACCAAGACCAGGATCAAACTGCTATCACTTTCCTACCAAGATTGGGACTACATCGGCACTTAAACTGGGACCTCAAGAGGACCAGATCACAGCACGGCTGGGCTTCAGCTCCTAACTTACAAACAGGTACACGAGACAGCTGTTACTTTTCAAAGAGTAGCTATGTTTGGCTTTCTCCCAGATTAGCGCAGCAATCTGCTCCATCAAACAGATGTTACTGTTCACAGACTTGCTATATTTGACTTGCTCCATCAACAATCTATCAACCTGAGCTCAACTCTCTTTCGCTGCAATTTGGCTGGGCGTAGCTCACTGCAGCAATTATGACTGGTTCACAGCCTGACTGACATGATAGTTTCCTTTTCCGTAGTCCCCTCCCTTACTGGCCAGCACTGCATCTCGTGGGTCCAAAATTTTGAGCCGGTATTCAAGGAGACCACGAAACAGGTTAATGCTAAAGCCAAAAAATAGCAGCCAGGTTGTGGCTGTACTGTCAATATCTGCCCACACCTCCACCCCAGCCTTCACATCACCGAACCTGCATCCTGTGTTTGTTCATTCTTCTTTTCCTTATTGCTGATATAACCAAGACTCGAACTCGAACTCGAACGAGAGATAGAGAGAGTGACAGAGAGAGAGAGAGAGAGAGAGAGAGAGAGAGAGAGAGAGAGAGTGGACGTTGAGACTTGGTGACATTCGGGCATTGCCCAGTTCAGTGACATTGCGACTTGACATTGTGTGAGCAACGAATTTGGGAAAAAATTGGAGACGAGGTCCATCGGGGTATGGTGACTGATCCTCCCTATCTCCCTCTTCCCCATTTGTCTCCTCTCCCTCTTTATGAGTGATGGTGTATGCTGTCAGGTCCTGTCATAGTCCACGCTGAGTCAGATCTTTGTATTACAGTCTTCCACTGTGCTATTTTGGCATTGTCTCTGAGAGGTCGGTTCTCGGTTCTGAACGATGCCGATTAGGCATGCGACAGTACCCGACTTAACCTTCCTGAATCTGGCCGACTTGGCCTCCTTTCGCTTGGGGAGTTTTGACCCTGAGATTCGAATTTGGGGTCTGCAGCGTGAAATGCCTTTCAATTATTGTTTTTCATGATTTTTTTTAAACTTTCTTTTATATTCTTTTACGGACAACTACGTCCATGCTAGTCTGCCACGGGCGTCCAGATGGACGTCAGGGTTCCAGATAGGCTGGTAGCATAATTGAACTCTTTTTTTCCTTCCCCTGCCCCGTTTACTGTTATGATATTGTGCGCGTGCACGCGGAGTAGTGGGTTCGCTTTTTGTGTTTGGTTTGCAAGCTGAGTGGGTGGTTGCTAGGCGGCAGTGAACTCATGAATGGTTTTAGGTGTCCGTAAATAAACTACCACTTCATCGAAGCTCTTCTTGCCGAAGCTGTGGGTTCGATTGTGTGGGCCTTTTGGGGTAGTGTTGTTCAGACCTGCCTTTGGTCCCTCTGGTCGTATTGAGAGTAGAAAATGAGAGGACGAAGCTGGAGATATGGCGTCACAGGTGAGTTGCAGGTAATTCCTCCTTGCCTCTGCCCATTTCTCTCTCTCTCTCTCTCTCTCTCTCTCTCTCTCTCTGTGTGTGTGTGTGTGTGTGTGTGTGTGTGTGTGTGTGTGCGTGTGCGTGTATGTAGTGCAGCGGGCAGCACTCCAACTCCTAGCTCACGTCCAGCACTGTACTACTCTAACTGCGCCCAGTGCGTCGACTACTGAAGACTACTCACCACTTCCTCAGAGCTACCACTGAGAAGCGCCTAGCACTACCTCAGTCAACTACCTGAAGAACTACCTGCCTAGAATGAGGTCCAGGTCCAAGCTATATATTTCGCTGGGCCTAGTGTCCTAGGCCGAAAGGAAACAGTCTGGTTGAAAGGAGAACTGGTCTGGCGCCAAGAACAGGAGTCTGTTCTGGCGTCAAGCCGAAAATACAAAAAGCCTGGCGCCCAAACCCAGGAGTCCGGCGAAAATGGTAAAAAGTAGGGACCAGGAGAGAATACTAAAAGTCTGGCGCCGAAAAATGGCAAAAGCAGAGGTGCCAGATATATGAGTCAGTGGCCTCCTGGGTCCTACTCGTGACACACACCCTAAGACCCTACGAAAAACCCTAACCCTACTGCCGGGCCCTGCGGGGGCCATGTGGAGGCGAGTATGCCACACCCCCCCCCTCCTTGAAAGACAGTGTTACGGGCTCGGCCAGGGCTCGATCCCTGGTCCGCGGGTCACCACCCGCCAGGCTGCCATTTCATTTTCGAGTGTCTGATCTCCGGTGCCTGACTGTTGGCGCCCTCTGCAGTGGGCGCCCGTTCTCAAATCCCTCAGGCATTTTCGGATTTTCATACTTGGGCCATCCGGCATTCTGGCGCCCAGGCTCAGACCTTCGATTTTCAGTTCAGTCCTGAGGCAAATTGCACTTCTACCCTCGGGACTCAACTTGAGTCCGGTACTTAAGACCGGACTCGAGCTGAGTTCGTCATTCAGTTTTCGGCCCCAGTGCTTGTGCTTCAGTGTGACTTGCTGCGACATTGTGTTCAGAACCCAAGATTGCGACTTTGAGACTCAACGACTTTGCCACTTTGTGTCCGGGTCCATCGAGTCCGTGTCGAGTCGAGTTGAGTGAGTGTGTGTGTGTGTGCTCTTCACTCCCTCCCTCTCTCTTCCCCGACCTCGCTGCTCTGCCTCAGTCCGTCACACTGATATCGGAGCGGCAAACGGCCCTCCCTCCCTCCCTGCTCCGGCGTTGCCACGTCATCGACATCGTCGTGCAATGAGCCTCTTAGTTCAACACCAGTGAGCGCACACAATCACACCACATGCATACATGAGATCACACGAAGTTCACACTGGAGGCCAGAGAGATGAAGACCAGGTAGCGCAGCTTTAGAATTCCAACAAGTTATCATATAAGCAATTAAGAGTTTTGGTCAGAGGCACTCAACACCCCCCTTCTTCGTTTCATCTTTCCTCTTGGCTTCCGGCGGACATTCTTCTCACATGCAGTGCTACGGTCTGGAAAGTCAACACAGGCCCAGACAGCTGAAGAACAGGCAGAGGTAGATCGCCGCCTGGCAGAAAAGAAGAGAGAGGAGGAAAAGAAACGAAAAGAAAGGAGGAAGTGAAGAAGTTGTTGGAAGAAAAAGAAAAGATGGAGAAGGAGATGAAGGAGAGAAAAATGATGGAGGAACTGGAAGAAGAAGAAGAAGAAGAAGAAGAAGAAGAAGACGAAGAAGAAGAAGCAGAAGAAGATGAGGGAGACAGTCTGGAAAGGAGAAGAACCCAGCCGCAAGAAGAAAAGGCTGAGAGCAGCCAAGCAGGGGCGATCCGTATACAACAGCAGGAGGCGCTGAACTGGATGGAGCAGTTCGGTTACCGGACGGAGTACCCAGAAGAGATGGAGGAGGAGAAGAATGCTTTTATAATAAAGCTGGCTTCAGCAGCGGATGAGGCGGAGAAGAATTTATTGTTGGAGAAGAAAGCAGAACTGAATAACAAGATGGTGGCGGCAAAAAGGCCAAAGTATAATGAGAAGAAAAGGATGAAAGAGGAGGGGGAGAGGTTGCAGAAACGGCTACAGGAACAGAAAGGAAAACAGGCTGCCACAGATGAGAGACTCCCCCTCGTAACTGATACTCTCCTCCACACTAACAACGAAGTTGCTGCACTCCACCGCACCGTTCATAGAACGGAGTTGCACCAAGGGGAATTTGAAGGCGTCTGGAACAACTTCCTTCGCAGTGCCTCTGAACAGATAGACCATCGTATCTTCGAGTTCGTTGACCAATTAGATAAAGCCCTTTACAAAAGGTTGACCGACCCTGCCATAGTAAAGAAACTAAAGATTGGAGCCGGGGGAGGAGATGGAGGAGACGATGGAGATGATGGGGACAGGAAAGGAAAGGGTCCCAAGAAAGAAGAGGATGGTGAAACGGAGGATACCAGGCTGCGATGGATACTTACCTGTATGCGCAGAAGATCCCATATTGGGACCGCGTACTAATGGCTAGCTCATGTTTAGCGGGTGATGCGATGGGTTTCGCCATCTCCCTGATGAAGGAGAGTGGCTGCACAACCATGGTCTTATATTCTCAACAAACACGGATCGAGGACTTGTTTAGGGCCTTTGAGAAAAGGATAAGAATCTGGCCCGTACAACTGAGTCTTTGATTCTAAATATTGGTAACCGTAAGTGGAAGAGTGTGTCAGCACTCAAAGCCACCATGGATGAACTCTTGCAGTGTCCGGACCATGGACTAACACCCACGCAGATTCTGAACAATTTCGCTAGAGCACTCCCAGATCCACTGAGAACCCAACTTTATCCCCGTATCAAAGAAGAAGGTATGACCTATGAAAAGTTCAGCAAGATCACAGTTGATCATGCTGGCTTTCTGCAAGAAGCCCAATACTGCCACTATTGGAAAGATCTCCAGGCAGGTAAGAAATGGACAGATCGCACGATCTCAGGAAACATAGCTGGAAAAGCCAATTTTCTGGGTCACCTTCGAAGGAGGGGGGGTAGAGTCACCTACCTACGATCCGATAGATTACGGATAAGAAGAAGATAGCAATAGTCACTTAGGCCAGGGAGGGGACTATG